GTATTATACAGTATATACAGAGCTTTATCATTCAATAGCTCTTTTACTTTATACAGAAATGCAAATTAAGTAATTAATACGAGATTTCCGTGTCAGTTTTCCATCAGTGATTACACACATGATACTTTATTAAGTTGAAACCAAGTTTGTACATACACAACCATATTTTATTTTATATATGTATATTGATATCGCTATATTCTTGGTCTCACGTTCTTGTGATGCTCAACATTTTTTGCTTTTACTACATTCTTTTCACTTTTCAGTGTAAAGATAAAAAACACCAAAGTTAAATCTAACTGATAGAACACATTGGATCCTTTTAAATGAAAAAATGTATGAATCCTAAATGGTTGCAACAGTGATAAGATAACATTAGATTAGATTAGATTAGATTAGATTAGATTAGATTAGGTTAGATTAGATTAGATTAGATTAGATTAGATTAGATTAGATTAGATTAGATTCTGTTTGATTCGATAGAACTTTATTGATCTCTTGAGACAATTCCTTCAAGTAAATTAGAGTTCCATCAGCATCACACAGGCAGCAAAAGTGACAGCAAGTATAACAATGCAAAATAAATATAAATAAGATAATAAATATACAAGTACAGATTTAACATTTGAATAATACTGTACACCAGTGGAAATCTGTTAGGGGAGTGGTGGTGTCTACTGCTCCTTCCCATCCTCTGTCCTCTGTCCTGTTACCCCTCCTCCAACACAGTGAGGAGTTGTACAGTCTGATGRCATGAGGGACAAAGGAGTTTTTTAATCTGTTAGTCCTATATTTGAGAAGGAGAAACACAGTCGTCAGTCACTGAGCAGGCTCCTCTGGTTGCTGATGATAGTGTGCAGAGGGTGACTGGCTTTGTCCATGATGTCCAGCAATTTGYCCAGATTTCTCCTCTCTGCCACAGTCACCACAGAGTCCAGCTTCATGCCGACAAGGGAACTGGCCCACCTGACTGCCCCCCCCCCCCACACACACAYAYATTCACAGGAGTTTCCTGCAGCTGTTTAAAGACCACACCCTCCTCAGAAGGTCTGACCCTTCCTGTACAGATGGTTGGTATGTGTTGTCCAATCCAAATTGCCATCTAGCCACAGTCCAAGCAGTCTAAAAGAATTAATTATTTTTGCTTCTTGTTGTGCCTTCAAAAGCCTCAGGTGTCAAATGTGACCTACTACACACATGATCACGGGGTAACAAAGAAACATGTACACCATGAAAAGAGTAGCATTAGAGTGCACACACAATTCAGAATCATAGTGACCCAAATAGTGGCAATGATATTTTGAGAGCATATGAGTCATGCAATCTGAAAGYAAGGCAGAGTGGGAAACAACTGTTTCAGTGCTCAGTAGGCAGTGGACGAGTTGTGGGAGGAAAGTGGAGGAGGAGCATAGTAGGTTGAGTGCAAAAATCTGTTCACTTATCAATTACAGAAATCTGTTTGTAAAATCACTTTGAACTTCTCAAAAGTCAACAAAGTGAGGTTGATGACAAGAAAGTAAAATTATATTTACAGTATATAGTACATTGAAGGTAAAGATCCTGTTACCAACCCAACAGCTTCTTCCACAGTCATTTAAAAGCATTGATGATTGGTCCATGCACACACTGAATAAAAAAGGAGACAGGATGTTGCCCTATCTCACACCRTTTGAAACACAGAGAGGAACTAACACAGTTTCCCCATTTTACATACAATGGCTCATTAGTTTACCAAAAAAGCAAGAATCCTTACCAAACATTTGGGAACATCCCTCTTGAACAACTTTTGAAATAATGTTTCTTGATTTACACAATTCAAGACGGCATCAATAAAACAGAAAAATAGTGAAATGTGTCTATTATGCAGATTTTAAATTTATTTTAAAGCAAAAATGTGCATGTTTATTCCATGTTTATGTTTCAAACCAAAGTGATTGTCAGAGGTCAGCAAAAATGTCTAATTTGTACAAAATGGCCCTCTCCAGTACCTTAGACAAGGTGCTGGCCAGAGCTATTAGTCTATCTTTACTGTTAATTTTTCCAGCTTTATCTTTCACAATATAAACTAAAATAGCACACGTCAGTCACCACTTTATGAATTAGAAAGCCCATAAAACAGATGGCAAAAAGATTTGCACAGATTCCTACTCACAGATTTTAGATGCTCAGCAGACACACTGTCTGACCCACTTTTGCCTTATTGTTATCCAGCTTCATCACAATCTCATAGACCTTTTGTGGCTACACAGCCACATCCTCATTTTGATCAATGTTTTCAACAAAAAATGAATTACGTTTAGCAGAATTTAAATGCCATTAATTTTTCTGCCACAATTTAGTAACCTGCTCTGCTCATACCATCAACATGTGGTGCAGTGGTAAGGCAGCAGACTTGGCACCAGAAAATCAYAGATTCAATTCTCCACCATGCAYACGTTAGGATGTCCTTGAGCAAGCCACCTAACCCTGCACCTGCTCCCACGCGCTTAAATATCTGCCCACTTCTCAGCTAGTGTRTTTCTCACACGTGATGGGTCAAAYTCAGAGCACAAACCTCATCTTTGTATGGGAAAAWGCATTGAWGACAAAAAAGGGTRCGTGTTGGTAAGCACATTCTTTTGTCATTTATTTTTTTTGATATCTTTCCAAAAGTCTGTAGGGCCATTGTTTGTAGTTTCCTTGCCAGTGACTCAGCTCTGAGAGTGTTCTCATTTCTTTAACGAACCATAGGGCATATTTAAAGTTCAAATTTACTTTCTTCATACACACGAATAGAGGRCCACAATTGGGTGTAATTGATTCTGTACAGGCCATGTTTTGTTCAGCACAAAACAAACAATGGCTTCTTTCTACTGCAGTTGGTACACTAATTCTATTGTGTCCTTAMAAAACCTCCATATTTAAGAACACCATGGTCACAGCCCTTAAGGCTGTCCCTCTTRCGTCAGCACTGACATACTGGAAATCGTAAATAAGTCTTTGTGGACTTGTTTGCGGAGGAACACACAAATTAAGTAGCTGATTCTCTTCCTGCTTAAAATAAATGATTACAACTGATCACAAAATATAAGAWATAAGACTGTACCTAAAATTCAGTTAATCAATTCCCTTAAATACTATCCCAAGATAACAAAAATTATGTCAACACAAAACTATGTTAATAATATGAAAGCAGATRTTTGTTTATCAAATATCTGTGCATCACAACAGAACATTTCTAAACATTTCCCAACCCCAAAATTAWTWTTTTTATTTCTCCCAGACATAAAATCCCCATGATAGCAGCCTTTCTTAAGAAAGCCAATTGTTTAACATCAGCAGTCTACTGAATTTTTTCATCTCCACCTTGGACTGCGGCATTCAAATCACTCAAAATGAAAATGCTACTTAGTGCATGTTCCTGTAAATAAGTCATAATATAKGCCAGGCTGTTGAGATACTCAGATTCATTCTAGCACTGATTGGTCTCTAAAGATGCATTTACTCTTTGTAGAGAGATCTAGTGAAGTGCTGAATTAATGCGTAAACAAGGAGCGGCAGTGCATGCAGTAATCTCAAGGTATGGCTGCTAAACGTGCTAATGGACTGACAAACAAATGAACGAATCGTCAGATGCTAATATAMGAAAAAAATTAATAAAACACAAACATCGGCCCAAAATATCATCTGGCTGATCTATCGGTCGACCTTTAGTTAAAATCACTCACTACAAACTTTGGAGCATCAGGCAGTATACTTTGTAGCTTAAGGCAGCGTCACACYACAAGAAAATCATGCCGATTTTTGCCCTTCCRACAACAAGCCAACATACACACACAGAACATTATTRTGAYCCCCRCACGYGAAGCGTAAGCGGGAGTCAAATTGTTTTCATACWGKTTTTTTAGTGATTTTTGGTCAACCATAGTACAAAAACAGCTACACCGATCAACATGAAATTTGGCAGGGCTGTAGWTGAGTCTGACCTACACTGCGTCAGCCAAYGGTTTCACRAAAGACCCCATATTTGAGGAGGGGG